ATTTTTATACATCATATTTATGTATCTTGCAAAGCGCAAATGGCGGATATTTTGAGTACGGGATATTTGAGCAGAACATTTGATGGAAAATAATCATTAATGTGGTTCATAATTTTCGAAAATTAAATCACTCCGTGTGACATTATATAATATCAACGTTTGTGAAAAGTTAATGTTTGTGCTATAAATGTCAAATTTTAATTAAAAGTTAATAAAACATTAATAATATAAATTAACTTATAAATTGATATTACGCGATAAAAAGTAAAAAAAAAAAAGAATAACGGAATAAGATATTACATACATTGGAACATTCTTGAACATTCAAAGCGGATTTAGGATAGGTACCTCCGTGGATACCTACTCGATGAGGATTAGGAAGTGATTTGCAGGCGATTGCCGATAGCGATGGAAACACGAAAGCCGGAATTTATCGTGATTGGAGCAAGTTCTCGTAGAGAAGAGAGAGAGAGAGGTAGTCATGAAGCTTCGAGGGCCGTTATCTCGTGCATGCACTAGGTACGCACGAACTACATATCAGTTTTCATGAGCACTGTAATGTAAGTACATACTCTCATTTTTTGAGGATGTATTTATCGTTGTGTGCGATATCCTCTTTCAGCACGCGAGATTTTAAAGATCTATAGAATCGGCGGAAAAACTGAAGCTTCACGATAAGTGCAAATAGCAGCGAGTAGTTAGCTTTAATAAATTAATTTTCGACGTATTCGATTAATTTCATGCTTTACATTTTCTAGAAATATCGCAAAAATGGCCGTTCGACTCTTTCTAATTTTTTTAAAGCTGTACATACAATGTTATCATTGTATGTACAGTTATATAAAGTTAGTTAGTTAGTTATATTAATTATATGTATATATTACACCATTTTTATTTTTCATATTTTAAATCTTACAATTAGTCATTTTATTTTATTGAGCTGTTAAGAAGCTGTTTCTGTACTTTTAATGAAAGTCAATTGATAGTAGCTCAATCCTCTTTACAAGAATTTCTTCCTCTACCTCATTAATTTCGTTAGATTAGATTCGTAAGAGCGTAATGACCTTGGCATTCCGTTTCACCACCTGGAACAGCAACTTTCGCGCGTCAGATTCTTTCGTTCTGTCGAAAATTGTGCGTTCACACATCCGCGCCCGGACTGCGCGCGACGATTATGGCAACTCATTAGCCGCGCCGGTAAATCATAGCGCGGCGGTTCACGGCACAGACGGAGATAGAAGAAACGCGTCGAATGTGGGAGTTCCGGAGCAAAACACGGACGAGCGAGAGGAACGGCATGTAGCGGTCGGAGGTTCAGAACGAGACGGACAGCACAAGCGTGCCCGAAGACGCCCGAGAGCGAGCGGAACGACCCGAAACGACTCGCAAGGGCTCTCGCGATATTCAATGGTTTCAGTACCGAGCCGCCGCGGGTCAGGACTCGATGTGGCTTCGTCGCAGGGGAGGTTTCTCGTCGACGCGTTATCCGACGATACGCGATGCTAACGAGTGATCCATGAATCAAAATCGAAGCGAAAACGCCGAGTGTCATCGCGCACAAGTTCATCAGTTGACAATTGCCTGCACGACCTGCTTTGCAAGTGCTGATCGATGATTCGGACGTTACGATTACGCGAAGAACGCGGCGGCACGCTCGTGTTTTTATAAACGCTGAAATTAATTTTTAACGCGAGTTTTGCATGCGTGATTCGCGACTTTTCGTTCGGCGCACCGCGTTGTCATTTTTTTTACGCCACTTTGAGGATTCCATTTTAAACGCGCGTAATGCACGTGTCATTTCAGTGTGCACGTATCGCCGCGATACGAGAGTAAGTGAGAAAAAAATCGAGACGCCTCGATCGACTTACAATGTGTTCAAAATAAATACCGCAACTCGGAGTAGCATCGTTTTTCATTTACCAGCGCGTTACGATCGAATTACGCGCTACCACTTGACTCGATACATAGTACCAATATATTATGAGTGACTGAACATGTAACTTTATACGCATGCAGTTTGCCACTCCATTCTTAGTCGCTCAGCTACTTGACAGAACCGATACTCGGAGAATATAAGAGTGGAATATAAAACAGCAAAAAATACTATCAGTGATCTGCCAAAGCGATATTTGTTCTGCGATCAACAAGCATCAGTGCTTCGAAATTTCCGACGGTCGAGTAGTCTTAACAACCGGCAAGACAGAGTTTTGTAATTTATCAGAGAAAAAGATCCAAACGACAACTTTATTTTTTTCAACCACCCACTGTTTAGAAGAAATTAAAATAATTCAGTGATTATAAAGTAAATGCCACGGAAGAAAATATTCGTAAAAAAAAAAACAGACGCACCACACGAATCTTTTAAAGTGTTCTAAAAATTGATCAGGCTCGCAACTTGTGTTGTGTTCGAACACATATTGTGGACACATATCCATTACTGGAATTTCAGAATACGTCGAATCCACTTTGCAACTGTAGCCGAGGCTCGTTTTATTTCATTCCGCGAAAGATTTATCGCGCGATCGGGCGATTTAGTGGAATTCAGGACAGGCGTCGAGACAGAGGCGCGCGAATTCCGGAAGCGCGTCGTCTTGGAGAGGAGCTTGCATCCGACACGCCGCTCCGCTACAGACAATAAAACTACAATCGCCACTCAGGAACCTGTCAGGGGAAGCTTCCCTCCGTTTATCCGGCAAATCCGGTGATCATCTGCTCGCCCGACACGTCCGTGAAATCCCACGGCAGCGACGAATTTACCTAACGGGGAACGCATCGATCAAGAAGTGAAAAAAGGTGCGATAACAAACGACAAGGGATAAAGTTTCAACTACTCGCGAGCGCCGTTTGAAGAATTACATTTGCGGATCGATCGGAAAATCTCCCGGGGAGATCAATCGCGCGCTCAAATCGTCGCGGAGAGTTCCTTCAACCGGAGAGAGATGATAAGGGAAGCGAAGATTGTGGAAAGGTAAGATGGGAACATCGAAACGGCGATAACATACGCCGTCGTTAGAGGTCTCGCGTTTCGTTCCTGCGAGAGAAAGAGAGGCTCGAAAGACAAATAGCCGGCGTCTCATTAAATGACGACAGGTAGGTGAGCGACGAGACACATAGGGGACGGGGCTGAGCGCGGCGTGTCGGTTCACGGCAACGGCTACGGCAACAACAACGACGACGGAGAACGGCGGATGATGTGGACGGCGGCGCAATGCAGCAGCAGCAAAAGCAACGGCAACGACAACGGCATCAACGGCAGCGAGAGCAACGGCAGCAACATCGGAGATCGCAATTAGTGCCGGCTCGTAACGGCCGTGAGACTACGTAACAACTGAAGGGGGGCACAGGGGGTGACCGCCAGGGGCCGTCCGTCAGGTCGAGGGTGTGTGCAGTGCGCGTGAAAGGCGGACAAAATGTGGTGGAGGTGGCGGTGGTGGAGTGTCGTGACGACGACGGTGGTGCTGGTCTTGGGAGCCGCCACGGCGTCGTACTCGTCGTTGGAACTATCCGATCTGGATAAGCCGAGTGAGTAATGCGCCCCGTTACAGTTATGCCTGATTTACTACCGGGCTTAAACCTTTCGGTGCGCTGGAGTCGGAATGCGAAGCGCTTTGCAGCTCTGCGAATGCACCGCGGCTTGCGTGCCAGTAATAACCGACGGAATTTTATAAAAATGCCAATTACCGTGGGCGATGTGTAATTGACATGAGATCGCGAGTCAACGTTCATAAGGAATGCCAAGTTTTTCTGTTACCGAAATGCTTCGAGCTTTCGGGATGGGCCGCCTGTAAACTTCCCCGCACCGAAAGCGCTGAGAGTTGCTCCGAGCGTTGCTCAGCTCGCGGATCGAAGACACGGATGAATTCTATCGAGTCTCAACGGTCCCGCGTCACGAGGCTGTTGGGAACTTTAAACAGCGGATTATTATCATCGACCTCATCCAGAGGAAGTTTCACTCGACCGCGTTCCGGCGCGTATTCCCTCCCGCCGCCGAGAGAGCGCAGACTCCACGAAACTCGCAACTACGGCGGCGTAGTAGTCGATGAAGGGGATATAAATGAAAAGGTGCTCCTGAATCTCATTAGCGCCGTTCTCCGATGTCTCATAATTAACCGGGGCGCTTCGCACTCGTCGAAACTGTCCTTGAGATGACAGAATTGCCGTGTGCATCACGCCGCGACGCTGACACAGCCGTATATACGATTACATACTTGGAAATATTAAAATAACAGGTTGTTTTATCGATAGTCAAATCTTCAATGTAAATCATAATTGTAGGAATTTTAATCCGACCGGTACACGGCAGCGCGAGGTCGATCGCATATCATTATCGATGCGAATACCGTTTCGTGATTAAAATCTCGCGTTATTACATGGTCGTAATTGTATCCATCAGACGACACACGCGATTTCAGAAGAAATGCAGAGCAAACAGGGAATACGTTTAAAAAGAAATGCAGTTTTCAGCAATTTCGAACAGTCTTCGATATTATTTTTATTAACCATTTTTTTTTATATTTATTTAAAACTATTCTCTCGACTTAAATAATTTGATATTTTCTAATAAAAGAAAACCATGTCAGTTGTGTAAAAACTATCATTAGTAGGCAGCGTAATTTATACCCTGATAAATTACTCGAGCGATAAACAACGCAATATGCTCGTAAATGTCAAAGATCTTCTCGAAGTAGGAAGTATCAAAGTTGGCTAACTGTCGTGTCAGGAGATGAACGATGCTATAATAATCTAATGTATGACGCAATATAACTAAAAATATGAATATTTTCTCTGTGCATCATCGATTATCCGCTATATTTAAAGTAACGTCAGGCAACTTTCATCGATCGATTGTTAAAGAGCCTTTGCCCTCTTGGAGTCTATTTCGTTATACGCGCGTCTTATAATTATAATTGGCACTTTGCGGGTAATATACGCCACCTAAAATTAATTTAACACTCTGTAAGCCGGATAAACGGGAAAGAAAATTGTAGGACGTTGGCATCCGATCGATTCCGGCGCAGCACGTAGCGAAGGCTTAGGATAGGGAATGACGGCTAAACTAGTTTAATTAAACCACGGCGCTAAGCCCCTCCTAAATTTATAGCCGCGCGATAAAAAAGAATGTTCCACGGCGTGGACGTGAAGAGAAAAAATTGGAGTTTCAATGGCGAAGCTCGGCCTCGTCCGGGAACAAAATAATGTAATGCCAATTTCACGCATTTACGAAATTTCCTTGAGAGAATGACTGATCCTGTCGTGCCGTTCGTTCGTCCTTATTTCTGTAATGATCCGTCGGTATTTTTCCACATTTATCCAATTCCGAGAAGTACGCGTTGCAGTTAGTTATAGAGTTATAGAGTTTTATACGCGTTGGATTGATACTTTAATATTAATGATACTTGCAGTTCGCAACAAGGCATAAATTTCTCTGATATTTGCGCAAAGCTTAACTTTGATTGTTCAAACTCGTCGATGCTTGACTGAAAGAATAATGCAACAGTTAATTAGGAATGTATGTGAATATCCATCGTTGTCGATGACATATTAGATGACCAGAGGGACCAATATGCTGCAGTAATCGTCGGTTATATCTTTAATAATTAAAGGAACTATTCGTGTGATAATTGGTGGACATCAACGTATACGGTTGAAAATGAGGCAATTATAATGACACTCCCGTGAGAGCATCTCAACCGGGAAAATAAATATTATTGCGAGAAGGCAATATAACCAGGTAAATCCATATTATATGTCATTCGTCGACATCAAATTACATACAGTGAGTAAAGGAATATAGGGGAGAGAGAGATAGAGGGGTAATAGGGGGGGGGCAAGCGAGAGAGAGAAAGAAAGAGAGAGAGAGAGAGCCCGGACTCTAAAGGGAACAAGGGAACGCTGAAGCAATCTAGCGTTATTTCATGGGAATTGCGATTGCGCATGCAATTCTTGCATAGTTTGAGAGAAGCGTTAACAGAATCGACCGCGGAAAGTTAGGGGAGTCGCGGAAATTTTCGGTTGGCAAGTCTTGTTAACATTTCACGCACGATTCCGCCATTCTCTCGGAAGAAGTTTCCGGAACTCCGCTTGACGGATACAAAACTGTGTGTGTATCATTGTCGAGGCGCGTTGCTTCGCGCGCGAAATATCAGCGAACGCGAATTAATGCAACCGCGGCTGATTCAAAGGCCGTTAATTACGATCGGAATTACTCGGCTTCGTTATGGAATTGCTTCACGGCGTGGCGAAACGTTAGCCTGCGTTTTCATAAGGTTTTATCTGACTTCCACTTCAACAGGTGTTGCCTAAGGCAAAAGACAACTGACGTGTGCGCGGCATGTGCGTAACTAACGCGTTGCGCGTTAATTAACGACGCTTTCATGTTTATTCGCGCAGCATAAGACCACATGCATTTATTCCGCTGCGTCCCCAGTATCGCAAAATAATGGCGTTCGGTTTCTCTCTAATGAAGCTAATCTCACGACACATTGAAAAAGCGGTCGGTAAATGTCAGTAACGAGAGGCATATTTATTTTCGTAATATTCTGTTCTCTAATGTTTAATGCTACAAATACACAGCACGTGCAGTAAATAACTAAAACCATAGTAACCGCAAAGAACAACTTTCATGTGCGCTTCATCGAGACATACACTATTTGTGCCATAAAGAGATCTCTTTACGTCGTGTTTTTACGGACACATTGCAACGTAAAATATAAACCCCGGAGCTTACCATGGCAAGCTAACATTTTAATAGAGCTTGCATAACAGCTTTCCGCGAGGCTATAATATATGGAAAATGTGTTACAGAATATATCTCGCTTCAAAAAACATTTACTTATTTTGCATAAACAAAGTTGAAAAATAGATTTAAATCCCGATATAAATAAACAATTTATCGTGAAACGCGAATCACGCTAACTTTCTTCAACAATTTTTACTTCTTCCAAATACAATATTAATTTTCACGTCAGTTTTACTTGAAAAATATTCCAGAAGATAATCTTTCTGGAAATTATCCATCTATTCATCTTATTTTAACGACACAAAAATCTGAATTACCAGTTCAGCACAGTCGCAAACTACTAATTCAGTTTCTCGGAGATTCTATACATATATATATATATATATCATTAATGCAGACTGTTCTCTCTCTGTATCTTACGTCTCGGACAGCGAGAACACTCAACGACAGCTTTCGAAATCACAATTACGGTGGCAATTAATTTTTTTGCCAGCAAAGCCGAAAAGCGAGGGCAGCAACGGAATGACCACGAAATCGGTCTAATGGGCGGCCATTTGTCATCCTCCGTAGAGTGGAAGGTGGCAGCGCGGAAGGGGTGAGAAGGACCCCTTGCACGCCGCCGACCAAGACGATAATTTGCACGCGATTTCATCTGCCGTACACACGTACCGCGTCGGTGTACGACTTAATGGAAATACGGGCCACGGAGTGAGCTCGCTATGGAATTCAAAAATAACAGCAGCCCGTAAAGCGAACACGACGTAACTAGCGCGCGAGAAACCATTTTACGTGACGATTGCGCTGTAATTGCGAAAATCGTGGAAACAATTATTAACGTAACGACGCGTGTGATATTACTTTCGATATGCCGATTGAAAAATGACATATTTCTCTTCCCCCTCGTTGTATATCCTCGCGTAACAACCTTATCAAAATAATGGGGCACGGTAAAAGCAGCGTTATCGAGCGTATCTCAAACGAGGCGGAGACGATCAGGCGACGTAACATGTATGTTTCGTACCCGACACGCGAATACTCGCGATTATCTCGAGTCTAATCCCGGCAAGATTAATTGGAATCGGCAGCGCGCCTGTTATTTTTCGACGACTTCTGTGTGCTAAAATAACATTACGTGCGCGCTGAAATCTCAAAGGACCAAAATGATAATTATTATGTGATTTCGACGATAACCTCCTTCCGTCAATGGCGAACTCGTGAAAAGACGATTAACGAACAACACCGAGAGATGACAGGACATATTTTGTCCTGTCGAATGTTTCTTTTCGGCACGCTGATTCGCACGTTTGGTTTTGTACACGTTCGTGCGATTAAAAAAATATCAAGCCCCTTGCTTGAAGAGGGTCGTTACGCAAAGAATGTGGATAAACGCAAGAAATTATTGCAGTATCATCTTTACAAACAGGAGCGCCGAATGATTATTTGCACGCGATCTCAGTCCACCGCATTTGCTGGGCACACTCGCGACTAAAGTTGGCACAGCATATTTCTTCGTCGAGAAATACGACCCTCTTATTCAAAGGGCACTTGTTCCAAGTATAATTATTAATTATTAAAAAGTTTCTTATTTTTTTGTTGGTAATTTTATGCAAAGAGCGTTTAATGCTCGTGATAATAATAGAAAGATATAGGATTTCGCAAGAGCCTCGTCTTATTGCTTGACGAGTCCGCCTATACAAATCACACGGCACAAGTGTCGGACTTGTGCGAATACGGCACCGCGGCTCGTTATGCGTGTAATGATAATGGCATATTGCGTGACGGT